GATTTTGGCAATTCGAAAACAGGAACGGATATGGATTCCAATTTTAAGATCAATAAAAGCAAGTTCATCTCTTTCCAAACACATCCCTAATTAGTTTTGATCTTAATGAAAATTAATGAATTTTAGATCAAATCCAAAAAATGAAGAAAAAACATGATATTGATGAAAATTGATGAATTTTAGATCAAATCCCAAAAATAAATAAAAAGCATGATATTGATAAAAATTAATGAATAGAATATAAGATCAAATTTCTAAAAACATGATATTGATAGCTAGAACTATACGTATTTGTCCAGCGCCGAATTACTATTACTATTCATACATACGTGTACTATTCATAAGCACGGTTACTATTCATACGTACATGTACTATTCATAAGTGCGGGTATTATTCATATGTACGATAATATTCATAAATACAATTACTATTCGTATGTACGGTACTATTCGTAAGTAATGTTACTATTCATATGTACGATACTATTCATACGTATGGTTACTATTCATGTGTACGGTACTATTTATAAGTACTGTTACAATCCATAAGTACGTGTGCTATTCATAAGTATAGGTATTATATTATATATGTATAATATATGTATATATAAATATATATAATATGTATAATATATGTATATATAATATATTTTTATATATGTATATATAACATATTTCTATATATGTATAATATGTCATATGTGTGTATATATATACTCTCTCTTAGTATATAAGTATATATAAGTATACTCTCTCTTATATAAGATATAAGTATATATATATGTATAAGTATATATAAGTATACTTTCTCTTATATAAGTATATATAAGAATACTCTCTCTTATGTATAATGTATGTATGTATGTATGTATGTATATATATACTCTCTCTCTTAGTATATATGTATATATAAGTATACTCTCTCTCTTAGTATATATGTATAGATAAGTATACTCTCTCTTATATAAGTATACTCTCTCTTATATATGTATACTCCCTATTATATAAGTATACTCTTTTATATATGTGTGTGTGTATACTCTCTCTCTTAGTATATAAGTATAGTATATTACAACGGCTACTTCTTCCCCATTGGCCCAACGGGCAACGGCTACTTATGTGATTCTCTCTCTCTCTCAAGTTATAACTTATAAATATATACAATATATTTACATATAATATATGTATATATAATATATAGTTACATAATAATTTGTAAGTATATACTAATATAAGTATACTCTCTCTTATATATGTATAAATTTAATTTTATTTAAAATTTAAATTATACAAAAAAAAGACAAAAAATTAATAAAAAATAATAATTTTATTAATCACTTAAAATGACATAAATTACAAATAAAAAATTATAAAAATAAATTCTTTATTAATAATTAATGAATTATTTATAAATTATAAGTATAAATTTATTTTGAAATTCATCACATCACAATAGATAAGTACATCCCAAATAGGTTTTTTTAAATTTCTTTTCGTTTCTTTTGTTTTGATTAAAATATGCTAAAAATTAGTTTAACATTATTATATTTTATATAATTATGTATTAGTATATACTTACAAATTATTATGTAACTATATATTATATATACATATATTATATGTAAATATATTGTATATATTTATAAGTTATAACTTGAGAGAGAGAGAGAATCACATAAGTAGCCGTTGCCCGTTGGGCCAATGGGGAAGAAGTAGCCGTTGTAATATACTATACTTATATATACTTATATACTAAGAGAGAGAGAGTATACACACACACACACACACATTATACATATATAAGAGAGAGTATACTTATATAAGAGAGAGTATACTTATCTATACATATATACTAAGAGAGAGAGTATACTTATATATACATATATACTAAGAGAGAGTATTCATATATGAGTATTTCAAAAGAGGATTTTGATAAGTGTTGAGTTGATTACACTTGAGTTAGAGGTTTATTTACATGCATGAGTTGGGTATCGTTGATGTGCACATCTCAGTACTATTTAGGATAGTGCGTCGATATACTAGATATACAAAGTTTATACACGAGATGGATATCGTTGATGAACTCAGTTCAGTACTACGTGGGGTAGTGCGTCGATATTCCATTTGTACAGGCCATTGAGTTGGGTTTGGATGCTTTGTCTAGCAGTCTGTCCGAACGTGGGTGCGATAAGGCTTGTGAGCCGTCTTTGAGGATACTTATATGGTAGGCCGTTCCGCAGTCATGTTACGTACTGAGATCGCGATGAGACTAATGAGCCATGTACACTGTTTAGGATACTGATTGGGTAGTCTGTTACGCATGGTAATGCGATGAATCAGAATATTGCATGAGATTACATCATGACGATTATGTGATAGCCTGAGTTGGGTGGATGCCAAAAGTGAGACGACTTATTTGTTGAGACATATATATGACTAAGATACCTTGTTCTTGTGAGTACATGAGATTTACATATGCTGATGTTCATTATGAAGTCATTATTATCCTGTATTGCTTTGTTCTATTCTTAGTCCGGGGTTAATATTTAGTTATCTACAATTTAAGACATATGGTATATACATGAGGGTTTCCTTATTTGGATTATTTCGCTCGACGTACTATGTCTCGTGTTATAAATTTCTAACTATTAATTCCATTAGACATGGAGAAAATAATCTAGGTAGACTATGCTTAATAGATAGGGCCCTCACTAAATCTAGCAGCCCTTCCCCTGGGGGCGGATGGAGGTGAACTTGCTGTAGCGCTCTGACGCTCTTGTTGTTTCTCTTTTTATTTTAACTTCCTTTCAAGTAGCAGCTCAGAGTTTCATAGAGTCGCAGGATGACGGATTTCCAGCATAGTCACCGGCACATAGTTTTAGTAGTTGAGGCTCCACCGTAGTTTTATGTTTTATTTTCAGACATTAGAGTTTTGTATTCCATCTTGTAAAGGTAGTGTGCCTCAACACTATTTTTAGTTAACTCATATTGAAACATTTCACAGTTATTTCAGATATCAGATGTATTCCAGTTTATTCATTTGAGACATGATTATATTTATGAGATATTTTGTTCTACATCATGTCTATTGTATTTATTTTTTCTTATTTTGCCTGTTTTATACCTGCACTTTTACTTGATTCCACTAGAGAGATATTACTGTGATGGTGAAACATATTGTTGTACAGTGTGGGTGTATGGCATGTTTGACATCTCTGGGTTCACCTTGGACTACAGCTATGTATGAAAATAGGGGCGCCACAGTTGGTATCAAAACTCTAGTTCTTATATCCTTAGGATCATCCTGTGTCGAGTCGTGGAGCTAGAATAGAATTTCCTAAGATTCATGTATAGAGTCCAATAGGAATTCCTAGAAAAAGTAAGGATGTTATATACGTATATTCAAAAATTATGATTTTTTTTACTACCTTACTTTAATTGAAAAGTATTTGCGTGAATACTTATCATGATACGTTATGTTATATATATATGTTTGCGACCTCATTTACTATGTCAATTAAGCTCTCCTCTTGATATTATAAATGTTTGGGGAGAAAGTTGATGTATTCATTACGATGTTCATACAACTTCAAACATTACAATTAAAACAAAAGTTAGTCTTTTTATAAGACCCTTATATAATAAAAACAAAAAAGTACAACT